CACTTGAGCGTTGACTGACTTTGCTGCCCGTCTTATTGCCTCTGCCTTCATGTAAGTGGGTCGCCGATAAGCCCAGCCAGCCTGCATGTCATCGTGGGTCGCCGATAGCCCAGTTCGCCAAGGCCACGTGCCTTTTCGTGTTCGCCTTCGTGTTTGCTTGCCTGCTTGTGTATGTTGGACCTCTCTGCCGCTATTTTATCAACGCTCGTGCTCTGTGGGACTCTGCTATCCACACAACAACTTCAACATTGGAGACCCAGATTGGTGTGAGGCATTGGAGCCCCATTGCAGTGTGCACGCACATGCAGGCCTTCAGAGAGCTGTGCGAGGGGCTCAGGAGAGATGGCGATGCACACGACTCATCCGGGGGCACGCCTGGCATTGTATGCCTATCGAGAGAGGGACGGCCTGCAGGCCGAGAGCCTGGTCGATGGCAGCCTGTATGTTGGGAGGTTCGATGGCGGCCAGAACCAGAGAAGTGGGTACGGCCTTCTCAGCTACAGAGATGGTATCCAGAGAGTCAAGGAATGGACACACACAGTGTCAGTTTTCATGTTTGCACTGGCCTGGCTGCAGGTCGGTTTGCAGCGTCGGGGTGGCGAGGCGACATGCGGGAGGGGGATGGGTGTCTGCTTGAAACGGACGGACACATCTACCATGGGCCGTTCCGCGTACGGTGACATGCATTGACGAGACACGAACGGTGACTGTCCACGTGTGTTTTTGTATCGGCTCATTATACACACAATCCAATCAATGCCTTCCTCTCCAAACGCCTCACGGATAGACACGCTGAGTCTCGCCGACAACGGATACCACACCGATCTAGCTCTCTCCATGTGCTGGCGTCACGTCTTGTCCTTGTCGCAATCTGCCTCTCTCCCACTGTAGCATCGCATTCTTCAGCCTTTCGCATACCCTGCACGCACACCTGCAGACACAGCACAGACACACAGGCAGGGAGGCAGCCACAGACAGACATGTGCGTGCGTGCGACCAAGGTGCCTGGCTGGCATCGCCTCCCTGACACACCATTCGTCGTGGTCAAGCAATCGGCTGAATGGGCCCTCCTCGATGTGCCGTCACATCAAGCCTATACGCATAGAGAGACAACCAACATGGACACACGACGGTATATGATGAGTGGTCGTCTGTGGTGCCTCACTGACCTGGTCATGGTGAGCACTTCCAGCCGCTCCTTGAGCTCGGCAGCGGTCTTGTCGTCGCCTGCATCGGCCTCCCCCTTCTTCAACTCCTGCACAAACATACACACAGAGAGACAACAACCACGCGTAGAAGGATAGAGATGTGAACGCGCTGGATGGGTGGGTGGACACACCTGGGTGATTCCGAAGTAGTTCTGCAGTGGTCCCTTTATGATGATCTGCACGGCCTTGGCGGATTTGGGCGTGGCGAACATGATGTGCTCCTTACACGCCTCCTCGCTCACGGGCTCCTCGCGCCACGCCGCCGCCGTGTCGAAGTTCTTGCCGTCAACCGATGTGGCGATCTCCACCCGACCAGGACCATAGGCCCACCGAATCTTCACACCTGACACCATGATAGTGTCACATACATCATGTGTGTGTGTGCCCCTCTCTCTCTCTCTGTCCCTGTGTGTGTGTGTACCCTTGATTCGTCTCTTTTGTGCGAGGTGGCCTGTCCAGGTGACCTTCTCACTCTCCGAGTGGCCGCCCGTCGAACACCAGTACGATGTCCCCGGCTGAATTGACTGCACTCATTCACACATCAAGAGAATGAGTGATTGAGTGATTGACTGAATTAGTGAATGAGTGGCTGATTGACTGTCTGTCTGTCTGTCTGTGTGTCTGTCACGTGTACCTGTCTGTCTGTCATGCAGACTAGACTGACTCTGAGTGGCGAGTTTTCCTCTTGGCTGATAGTCGACGAGGCCTCTGCACTGGTCAGCTTGACAAAGCCCGTGTTCTCCGGTGCTGCGGCCGAGCCACAGGCGGCCAGCAGCGCAACCAACAGAGACAGCAGAAGTCTGACGCCAATATAAGAGGCCCGCAGAGAGGTAACCGTAGTGGCAGAACTCGTCGAGGGCCAGCACCATGGGGAGTGTCCACTGCTCGGCTGATGGCTTGGATAAAGGCAGCAGCGACCCGTAGGTCAACGAGGCCGTATGCCAGTGTGGCAGGGGCCGTCAGAGGGATACCAAGACGGTCGAGTTGGGCCCTCGAGGACCGTGAAGCAGCCGTCAGTGGGGCGGATGGATGCCCTATTGGTGGACGCCGCGGACACGAAGAGCCTTTGGTGCTGTGAGGAACAAAGGTCATCAGCTTCCGATTGATGGCCGGCCATGGGAATGGTGAGGGCGGACGGTCTCTCTCCTCCTCTCTCTCCTTCGTTGTGCTGCCATCCTCTGCCTGTGGCTGTGCTGCAGGGTCATCGGTGCTCGCCACGCCGCTCTCGACACTGTCCCGCAGGATGGATGGATGCCAGTGCCTGAGCGACAGCCGCCTTGTCCTCGCCAGCCGATGATGACCAAGCAGGGCGGCACGACGGACGACGGGATGGAAGATGCGATCAGATGCATTGCCGTGAGTGAGTTACGGGGCAGCGGCAGACGCTGAACCAGCCCCTGCTGCGCGTGTTGGCCGTCAGATCTGTCACACACACACACACACACACACACACACACACAGAGGGCATGACACACACAGACACGCCTCCGCGCCCGAAACACACACACACACACAAGGATTGTGTGGGAAGCGTTCTGTTATGCCTGCAATGAGTTCTGTTATGCTTGGCTCTGCTCGCCGTCTTGCTTGCGTCCGCAGACACAAACAAACCAAGCATCCATCCATTCATCAATCCATCCATTTTTTCTCCTTGGTGGTTCTGTCATCCTTGGTTTTGTCAGAGCCTCGGTGTGTGCTTTGACTGACCTTCCCAGTCGTGTTCTCCTCCGTCATGCATCCATTAATAGACCCGTCACAATGAATCAATCAACAAGGCTGCATGGCTCAAGGAAGGTGGCACGTGCACAGAAAGCAGGTATGGCTGCTGCTGGGGGCTCTCTGCATTCTTGCAAACACGGCAACCCAACAGACCGGTGGTTTTTCGCCAGATCTTTGTCACTGCCGGTTGTGTGAGGCATCCCTTGACCGACCTACAGGGGGGAACAGAGGGAAATGAGCGGAGTGAGGTGCGAGCTTCACGGCGATCGCAAACGAATCGCGAATCGCAGCATCCGGAGAAAGAGGAAGGTGAGCGGGACCGCAGAGTGACAGCCCATATCGCTGCCAAGGAGATCTCATTCATTCTCTGTGTTATCCTGCGCGAACTCCTCGGAGGTATGTCTTCACTTGCTGTCGTCGTGGTCGCTCTCTCGGCCATCCTTCGTGGTCATGCCCATCGTGTGCGAGGTCCAGCATTCCTTGCCAGCTTCCTGCACCCTCCGCCGCACAGTGCTGCCATCTCCCTCTCACCCACAGCAAAGACAGCGCTGAGAGGGACACCCCAGACGTCCTCCAGCGGCGAAGGGAACACGGCAGAGTGGACTCCCTCTCGAGAGTTCGTCGACCTGATCAGAATGGAACTCTCCGGTGGGTCCGTCTGTCGGTGTCGGATGCCCACACAATCACGTCTGTGTCTGTGTATGTGCATGCCACTGCATGGGTATGTGTGCAGGCCAGGAGCCGAGCCGCCCGTACAGGCTGGCAGCTTGCCGCAATGACAGCGAGTGGCACGCAGCCAATGTCATCCAATTGCATCAGGTGGGTACCCCCCTCACACACACATTCATTCGCTCTACACGTGCATCATGCATCAGGATCTGTGTGTGTCTGTGTCTGTGTGTGCTGACCGCGGGCCTGATGATCCCCAGTCACAAGAAGCTGAGCCTGTCGTAAGGGGTCCGGACCGTAACCGAATCTTACTCAGCAAGGAGCACACCGAGGAAATTAACAAGGCTTTCCGCGACCCCAAGCGCTTCCTGGGCCCTCTCGGGTCACTCAAGGCCAATCTTTTCTACGACTTCGTGGACCCTTTACTGAGGCGCCTGCAGCTGAGAACACGGCGTCGCGTCCGGACCAAAGACAATATCAGATTCAGACGTTGCGAGTATGGTTTGCGCGATCCAAATGAGGTCGGATTCTCCCCACAGATATCGGAGTGCGATGACGTCATTGTGTCGTGCGGGGGCGAGAAGGTGCTGTTTATCATCATGACAGGCGGCCCTCTGAACGGCTGGCGGCACGAGCAGGCCCTGCTGAAGCGGCTGGTGGCTGACGGACTAGTTCACGGCTTTGTGACGGACGGGTCGACCTGGGTTGTCGTCGACATCGATTATCACGACGAGGAGAAGCGGCTGTATTTCGAGGCCGATGAGCTGTTGTTTCTGCCGGCTGACCCGCAGCGTGTGATGGACCATATTGTGGATGTGATTGAGAAACAGAGGAGAGGCGATGAGTACTGGAATGTGTACATTGAGCCGGGAGAGACCCCATCGGGAGAGCCTTGTTTGGTTTACACGAGTAACGTGGAGAGGCTGTCCAAGCTAATGATCAAGAATACGACATAGTGATTTTCTGTACTGGGCTTTTTCTGTATGTTTGTGTGTCGAGTAAGTTTGTGTTTCTCTGTGTCACTCACTCTCTGTGTGATCGTTCGCTTTATGAGATTATGTGTGCCGTGTGTCTGTCTGTGTGGGATCCAACGCGTACATCCGCTGTGCTGTGTCCGTCTGTCTGTTGTGTGTGGCGTGTGTGCTGATGGCACATGAAGACATTCCGAGTCTGGTTGTTTGTTAAGGTGGCTCGCATCTGTCGGATGGTGATTGATGAATGCCATTACCACACCCTGTCGACAGATATATAGATTCATGCCTTTGTCCATGTGTTGCTTCCGCCGTGTGCTCGTGTTAGTGAGCCTGCATTCTACAGCCTTCCTGACAGACTGAGATGGCTCATTCCTTCGCCCAGTGGCAAGATGACGCGAGTGTTATGTGTTGATGTCAACGGCTTTCTAACAACAAACTGCCCACACCGCAAATTGACATCAGACAACGGTCTTTGCACCACACAGACACGCGCAGGTCCGCGAATTGTGTCTATGGCAGGTTCTCAGACTCACTACATGTCAAGGAGCTCGTCTTTCCCACTACTTGCAGCCTCGCCCCCACCCCTCTCGCCCTCAGCCTGACCGACACCACCACCACCAGCACCAACACTAGTGCCTATCTGCCCGTCCATGGCACCCCCCTCCTCATTGCCGGCCGTGCCATGCCGCTGCACACCCTGCTTGTCTCCATGGTTGCTCTCGGGCTCCTGGATGTCATCCTCTTCGACGCCATCGTCCTGAGCTCCCCCGTCCCCCCCTCCATCAGCCGCAGCGGCCCCCCCTGAGGTGATGCGGCGGAAGTCAAAATGGATAGCCTTGGTCCCGGCGGTCGGCTGCGGCTCGGCTGCCGGCATGGTCGACCTTTTCGGTTTGGCAGCTCGGGGCCTGGGGCAGTGGGAGAGCAGGGGGGAGAGGGAGCGTGCGCAGGGCTGGGGCTGGGGCTGGGGCTGGTCCTCCTCCTCCTGCTGTTGTTGCTGCTGGTGCTGTTGGCTGTCCTGGCTCGATGACGCATCCGCCACCGCCTGGTCGAGCTGCTGCGAGGACATGATGGCCCCCTGATGCTGCTGCTGGTTGTCTTGGTTGTGGTGAGCGCCGCGGAGCAGGTCGGCCGCTGTGGTGAAGACGGCCGCAGGGAGAGGCCGCATGGTGGGGGATCCGGCGTAGAGGTCCTCTCCTGGCGCTGCGGCGGGAGGGGACGGCTGGCTGGGCTCCTTGTGCTGCTCTTGGTCGACCTCTATCTCTTCCTGCTGCTGCTGCTGCGGCTGAGGGTCCGCATCGTCCATGTCAACGTCATCCCCATCGCCACCGTCGACTCGCATCCGCTTGGTGGGGTTGCCGGCCTGATCGGCGCCATGCCCATCGTCTTTGGCATCTCCCTCCCCCTCGCCGTCGCCCTCCCCCTCGCCCCCTCCCTCGTGGGGGTCTTGGTCGCGGCGGACGCTCCCGGTGAGCGCTGGCGCTGTGCCGGTGAGGGGGTGGTCCTGCTCGGTGTCTCGCTTGCGCTTGGTGTGGCTGGCGTTGTCTGTGTGATCATGCCAATGGGGGGGGTCGGGGGGCAGAGCACTCCCAGCGGCAGCAGCAGCGGCAGCTGCTGCTGGTGCCGCAGCAGCGGGGTGGGTGGCGTCACCCTTGGCCGGCTGGCTGTTGAGGGTGAGGGGACTCTGGGACTCTAAAGTCTGCACACACAACCGTCAAATCCCATCTGTATGTCGACAGCCACGTCCCGCCCACACTTCTCCTTCTGCTGACCATCTGTAGGGGCCGCTTCTGGCTGTGGTCGTGGCAATGCTCGCCGCCATACCCACCAGCAGCAGCAGCTGCAGCAGCAGGTGCGGCCGTCAGGTCCTGTTTGAAGTGAGGCGAGGGCGGGCGGTTAGCTGCGGGTGGGATGCAGACGTCAAAGAAGGGGCCGTTGATGCGATGACCCTCCTGATATAGCTGAGCGAGTAAGGTAACAGGGGAGAGAATGTGTGTGTGATGGCTGTTGTAGTGGGTGGTGTGTCCCACCCCACCCCGGCCCACCCCGCCCTTGTTACCTTGAGCTGTTTGTCGCGTGAGTTGAGGATGGGCAGGAGCTCTCCCTGGAGGGCGCTCAGGATGGCACCCAGTGAGGTGCCGACGGTCTCCTGGGCGTACTCGGACACACGCCACCTCTGCACTCATACACACATGCAGAAGAGAAGGGCATTCTCCATGTGTGTGTGGTGGGGTGTGTCCGTTGCGGGGTTCTGACCTGTTCCAATTCTGAGATGGTTCTCTCGTGCTGTCTGATGGTGAACTCCAGCTCGGCCACTCTGTCGTCCCGCTGAACGATGGCCCGCTCCAAATCACTCTGATGCATGGATGGATGGATGGATCAACACCACACACATTGGCTTGTGTGGTGTGTGGTCTTGGGAAGTGTACTTTGGTCTTTTTGAGGTCGTCGAGCATGCTGCAGTGGTCGTTGTTCTTGTCACACAAAGCCTTGTACTCATCTAAACACACACACACACACACACGCATCCACGTATGTGTGTGTGTTAAGTTTGTGTGCCCAGCCTGCCTCACGCACCCACCCACCCTGAAGTTTGTCGAGGCTCTTTCTGATGGCGGCGGCCCGGTCCCTCTCCTCGTCAAGCTCCGCACGTACCTTCTCAAGACGCTCACACACCTCTGCATACGCACACACACACACAGGGGTGACGGTGAGTGGCGTATTGCTTGTGTGTGATACTGCTGGCGGCTCTTGCCTTGTTTCTCCTTCTCTAGCTCTGCGATCCGCTTCTTGTAGGACTCCTCTCGCTCATTCTGGCGCTGCAGACGCACTGCACACACACACACACACACACATACAGAGGGATAGACACACACGCAGGCGCTGTGCTGTGTTGGTGGGGTGGGTTGATGTGTCGGCGACCTTCGAGGGAGCTGATCTCTTCATTCTTGCTCTGTAGGTCGGCCTCCAGACGGTTCTTGTCACTGCAAACCGACACACACACGAGGTGTTTGCCTTGTTTGCTTGTGCGCGGTCCATTGCAGTTAGTTGTACTTGTGTGTCTGCTGCACTTGCTGCTGCAGCGACTCGATCTGTTTGTCACGAACCGCCATATCGTCCTACAGGCACACCAACGACACACCAGCGCACCACACAGAGAAATGTACACAGACAGATGTGTGCAGTGCAGTACCCACTCCCTCCCTCCCTCCCGGACTCACCTGCAGCTGTGTGACCTGTCCATCGTACTCGAGCCGCTCTTTGAGCTGGTTGTCCTTCTCGGTCAGCTTGGCCTTCAGGTCCTCCACCTGCCGCGCCGACGCCTGCAGCCGACGCTCCACCTCCTCCCGGCCCGCGACCTCCGACTGCAGCTGCTGTTCAAGGGACGCCAGCGTTGCGTCCTTGTCAGCCCGCTGCTTCTGCAGCTGCAACTCCAACTCAGACACCTGGTTCCCCAAAGCTGCCACGCGCTGGTCGGAGGCTGCCGCACGCTGAGAGAAGTAGGAAAGACGCCAAGGAGAATATCAGATGCCTGCCTGCCTATCGTGTGGAGGAGTGAGTGTCCTTCCTTGTCACTCACTGCCTGACTGCCTGACCTTCTCGAGCCCCTCTATCTCCGCATACATGTCTGGGTGGAGGTAGTTCCTCATCGCACTGAATCTACCGGTGCCCCCATTCTCCCCACTCCCCTCCCCACCGCCCACATGAACCCCTCGGCTGCCCCCAGCGGGAGGAGGTGGGCTCACCGGCGCACCCCCACGGTCACCGCCCTCCCGCTTCACACGCACTGCTGCCGTGTTCTCCCTCGACCGCTCCACATCTATCGCAGCAGCCGCGGGGCGAACCGGGCTGGTGGTGGTGGTGTGAGGGCGACCGTTGCTGTGTCCGTTGGTAATGTTGCTGTGGTTGTTGCTGTGGTTGGCATGTGGTGGTGGTGGGGGACTGTGCATGACGCGTGGCGCGGGGGGGATGGGAGGGGGAGGGGCGGCCACCTCTGGCGCCTGCTGCGGCGGTGTGGGCTCGTTGTCGTTGCTCGACGTGGCCGGGGCGGGCTGTGTGATGGCTGACAGGTGGGGGAGGTGGGGGTCAGGACGATTCGACAGCAGGAAAAACGACGATACCGCACCTACATGCAGAAACGAATACATAAACGAAGGAAACACACTCATAGGCAGGCAGGCAGGCAGGTATCCTTAAGCACGGCACGGCCTGCCTGTGCTGAGTGCGTGGCTCGCTAACTAACTTACGGCCAGAGTGTTTTGGCGTTGAGAGGACGAAAAAGTCGCCAAGATTGATGTCATCGGTCCTCTTGGACACCACCGTGTTGAGGTTGATGGTGCTGCCGTTCATGCTGTCGTCCTTGAGGGTGTACTGCCACTGCCCAGTGGCAGAGGAGGGCCGCCGCCACCGCAGCTCGCAGTGCTTCGTACTCACCTGGTGCTTCTTGATGCTGAATGAACGAACACCAACCAATACCACACACACACACACATACAAAGATAAGAGATCCACAAGCTTGTATGTGTATCTATCTATCTTGTTCCCTGTTGTTGCTGTTATGTGTGTGCACGTCACTGACATGATGTCGTTGTCTGCTCCCCGTCCGATGGCGACGCACTGCTTCTTGCCCTCAAGCTTGACCGAGAAGGTCTTGCATTGGACCACCCAGGGCGGCAAACCTGCGCCAGGGCTGTTGCGCTGCAGGTTAGACAGCAAGCTGACGGTCCCGCGCTCTCGGCCGTCCTCGTCCCTTGCGGTAGAAGCATCCTCCGATCCGCTGGCTTCAGTTGTGGCCACCCACAGCAAATAGAGCTGAGGTCCATCCGCCATCTTGATGTACCACAGGTGGGAGGTGGCTACACCTACGGAGAAAGACCCAGATTCACGCAGCACCCCGAAAGGCTCAAAATTCGCTGCGCACAATGCGAGCTGTTGGTGTTCAATTCTAGAGCACCTGCGAGCTAAGCGGTCAAGCCAGAGAAAGCTCGAGGACGCTTTGATGGGTTCTTCATCCGTGTGACGGGACGATAACCATGATCATGGTACAGCAATCGACAAAGCAGCACAGAAGGACACAGATCTGCACGACGATCATTCTGATGCATGGCTGTGCTTGCCTCCTTGCAGTCCCTCGCCCCTTCTGTCGTCCGGCAAGACAAGAGCCGCTTTTGATGAATGAAGCTACCAGCAGCTCGGCTCTCTCTCTGCTACCTTCATGTCGCCCTCTCAGCCGTCGCCCCCTGTGTCGCTCTCGTGACACCCGTGCCCGGCCTCCGAACACTCACACGCGACTTCCCCGGCATCCACGGCCCTCAACAAGTGGACATTATCGAGTGCCTGCCTGCCCAGTGCCGTCACGCGTCTGTACGCCGGCTGTTAGATGAGGAGCTGCCGGCGCATGGGGTGGTCGGTTTTGACTGCGAAGCGCCGCGAGGGCGTGTGAGCGGGACGTATGTGGAGCTGCCGCCGCTGCGCTCTGTGCAGCTGGCGACCGAGAGCACTGTCCTGGTCGTGCACGTGGGGAGGAGTCTGCCCTGCGAGGCTCTGGTGCGTCTGCTGCAGCGAAATGACGTGCGTAAGGTCGGCAAAGGAGTGACGGGTTTGGATGTGCCACGGATGTCCGATTACTGGAATCTCACCGTTGGGAACCTCGTGGACATCGACGCCAACCTGCGCGACGCCCTCAAGACGAGCAGCAAGGCAGCTGTGGTGCAAAAGCTGATTGCGGGAGGCGGAGAAGGAGAGAATATGATCCCGTCGGGGAGTGACGTTGGGGGTCACAGGAGGGGTGAGGGTTTGATGAGTGAGGGGAGGCTGCTGTACTGTGCATATGATGCGTGGCTGTTTCGGGAGCTGTATGGGTGGCTGAGAGAGCATGCAGCACAGCGGACCTTCCTGCAAGTGCCGCCACACACGAGAGGCCGATGCAGAGGAAGGCGACGGGTGAAAGGACTGCTGGACAAGTGACTGACTGACTGACTGACTGCATTCGGATGCTATGTGTGCTGGCTGGCATGAATGTTAATTGTCCATTCATTCTTAGTGTGCAAGCAAGTCTCTGACTACTTTACACAGACAGACAGACAGACAGATGCACACACATCCATTCCTTCATCGGTCGTGCAAGCTAAGGCAAGACAAACAAATGAGCCTAGCCTCTACACCGTCGGACGGACGATGTGTGTCATTCAGGTCTGCGCCTCCACCACTGTCTTGTCAGCTGCGTGTGCCCCATCCCCTCCCCCCTCGATGAGGCCTAAATACCGCTGCTTCTCCTCCTCACGCAACACACGAGCCCTGTCAACGCAAGCAACGACATATGCACACATATGCACATCGGGGCCCGGGATGCCTGCAGGTGTGTTCCCTCCCTCCCTCCCTCCCTCCCATCTCTTCCTCACCTATATAGGTATGGAATGTGGCAGTTCCTCTTGATCCACTGCCTGTGCAGCCAGATGGGGTGCCGCCGCAGCTTCCCGCGGTGGTTGCTCCGGTGGTAGAGGATCTCGGCCAGCGGCAGGTCACGCACCAACGAGAACTGATCGTCCACATAGGGGAACGGCCGGTCGTGGCCCACGGGACGCGACGCCTTGGTGCGCCAGATCTCAGACTCCACCACCAGCTTCGCCAGACGAGCTATCCTACACTCAAAAGGGGAACCATCACACGCACACTCCCTCCCTCCCTTCCTCCCTCCCTTGCTGTCACGCTGACCTTGTCCGTGGCTGGGCGACTTTCTTGATGTATGGCAGGACCCTCCTGTCCGCCCCGCCGGTCTTTGCCTCGCCCTCGACCTCCTCCATGACCTCCATGATGTGTCTGGGGAGGTGGTACGTCTCCGGTGGGTGGGTGGCATCGCCCACATCGGCCCGGCCGAAGCCGCTGTACGTCCGCCCGGCACTCGGCTCCAGCACATTAAGGATGTACTCCTGCAGACAGACGACCACACACACACACATACACATACACATGCATCGAAGTTCACGTGTCAGTCCCACCCACCCTCTTTCTCTGTCTTTCTTGCTCATGAATGCACTGACTTACCCGTACGTGTGGGTCCTGTGCCTCCATGGCTGGCTTCAGATAGGCCGCCTCGTTGCGCCTGTACATCTTGATGTGCGACGTGCGAGTCACGTTGGGCAGGTCGAACCAGCTTCGTCGCCACGCAGCCGGGGCGTCGGTGTCCCAGGTCCGGCTGGTGGGGACCTCCTTGCCCCGCTCCTCAGGCGGCACCTTGTTGCCACTGACGTGCTCCGGGTAGGGCCCGATGTCCCAGTGAGGGTTGTAGGCCTCTCGCCGCATCCCCCACCGGGGCGTCAGCAGGTGCTCGCGCTTGAGTGCGTAGAGGCCCCTGTCGGTGTAGCCGGGGCTGTTGGGACCCCAACTCATCCCGCTGATGGGGAACAGCAGCCGACCGTGGCCGCCCGGCTTGGGATACAGGACGACGCGCGAGATGAACATCAGGGACTTGAGATCTCGTCAGCTGCTAAGCCGGCTGCTCCACTCCGAGGCCTCCATATCCCCTTCTGACCTCCCCTTCCTTTGGTGCATCCCAAGCTAAGCTCGCAGCGTGGCAACGGAAAGATGCTGAGTGCATGGTCTGCACATCTGCAGCCTCCCCTGTGATGCAGTAGATCTGCCATTGGTTGATGGAAAAACATGTGTCATCTGTCGTATCGTGCCTGCTGCCGCTGCTGCTGATGGTGATGACGGTGCCGTCGCTGTCGTCTGGTCGTCTGGTCCGGCTGTTCGACGTCCCAGAGGGGCTGCCTTATCGCGTGGAGTTCCGGGACAGATGGCTGACCGTCGACGGCCAACCCACCCTCATCCTCTCAGCCGGCATGCACTACACACGAGCAAGTGAGGCACGCAGAGAGGCTGCTTGTTTCATTGCCGTGCACCTGCACTGCTTGGGTGGTGCTGCTTCTCTCTCTCTCTCTCTCTCTCTCTCTGTTTCCGCCCCTTTGTCCGTCAGGTGTTAGTGAGTGGTACCGACTGCTGGACTACGCGCGTTCGTCTGGGTTCAATGCCGTGCAGACCTATGTGGTGTGGGGCGAGCACGAACCGGAGCACGGCGAGTACACATTCGAGGGGTCCAAAGACCTCTTTGACTTCATCCGGCTGGCGGCAGCTCACAACCTCTTTGTCATCCTCAACATAGGGCCTGGTCAGTCAGCACAGCACCCACACACACGGCAACGACCGCCGTTTCCAGCATTCCTTTCACCGCGGGTCTAGATGTATGTGTATGTGTAGGGATATGCGGCGATTTTGACTTTGGTGGTCTGCCCCACTGGCTGCAGTACGTGCCGGACATCATCATCCGCGACCCCGACAACCCCCCCTGGCGCTACTGGCTCAACCGGTGGCTCACATCCATCACCACACTCATCAGCCCCTACCTCGCCACCAACGGCGGGCCCGTCATCATGCTCGCCACAGAGCCATGCGGCTGCCCTACCAACTCGTATTGGTACAGGGGCGACATCCAGCCGAGGAGAAACCACACATTCGCGCCGTCGTCGGCCAACAGCAGCCATAGCCATGTGGGGGCGGCGGCGTCGTTTCTGCAGCTGGAGGGGTGTTTTCTGCGCAAGGGGCGTGAGAATGGCAGCGACAGGGATGGGCGAGGGGTGAAGGAGGACGACATGCTACTTGCGGAGAAGCACCGGCAGTGGATGACCGACCGTGTGGACGAGCTCGTGCAGGAAGCCAAGACAGGCAGGAGGATCCCTGTCGTCACCTGCCCGGGTGGCGACGACCGGGTCATCGACGCGCTCTACGGGCAAGGCACTCTTGCTGACGCATCTGAATGGGAGAGGGGAGAGGCCGACGAGCCCGAAGGCGTATTGGCCGGGCTGACGCGACGAGCCAAGGCGACCTTTGGTCTGGGTGATGATGGGGGCGGTGGGAGTGAGGATGCCGGGAAGAGGATCAAGAGGCGGAAAAAGGACAAGGTGGTGCTGCGCCAGGGGCTGCTGCCGGCGTGCCAAGGCTTCGATTGCGGTAACTAACGAACCAACCAACGGCACGTGACGTGCATTTATTGACAGACAGACCCAGCAGCAGCGCATGACATCCTCGTGTGTGTGTGTGCAGGCGACTGGGCCGATTATGCTTGCCACGGTAAGTCCGCAGGAACACACATGTCCTGCCAGGCGAGAGCTATTTTCCCGTCGTCTGCAGGTGGTCGTTTGCCGTGTCTGTGGTCGGAGCACTGGACGGGTATGGCGTCACACTGGGGCGAGGGGCAGCTCGACCGGCCTGCCAGCCACATAGCCTACGCCGTCCTCGAGTGGTTTGCCAAGGGCGGCACAGTCATGAACTATCATCTATGGGCCGGAGGTAGAAGGGAAGCCAGAACGAACTGTCTAACTAACGAGAGTCAGGCAGGCAGGAAGGCGTGTGTGTGGTGTGGTGTTTGTTTCTCAGGTTCGAATTTCCATCGGCGGTCTGCGGGTCGTCTGGTGCCGACCTCATATGACTTCGCCTTTGCTCTCGACGAATACGCATTCGCGAGAACGCCCAAATTCCAGGTAGGTGCGATGACAGACAGACTACAGAAGACCGATCGACGGATGGATGGACGGTGGCACCTCTCTCTCTCTCTCTCCGTCTGTCTGTTTGTGCAGCATCTGTTGCATCTGAATGCGGTGCTGCACATGTACAGTGACGTGTTGATGGAGCGGCACCCGCGGATGCCCACCACGGTAGCGATGCCTCCCGCCCGAACGCCTCTCAAGGACGTCAAGGGCAGGGGCGGCGACCACACATACGCCCTCGACTGGGGACCTGTGGCCTTCTTAATTAACACCGGCAGCCCCAAGAGCTCACGAGTCAAGTGGCGCGGGCACTCTCTGCACATCACACCCAGGTGAGCCGTATATGGCTGCAAGAAAGGCGTGGCTGTCTCCATGTGTGTGTGTTGTGGATCCCACCAGGACGGTAGTCGTGTTCGACCGTCATCTCGACACGATGGTGTACAACAGCTCCCACATATCGTTCAAGCTCCCGTCGCCCAAGCCGGCCCCCCACACGCATCCATCCATCTTTGTGAAGCCATGGAAGATATTCAGGCGGCAGCCCACCACCACCACACACGGACACCTCACAGCCGACATCGAGCCCGGCGAGCTGAGACTGAGAGGGATGGACACTGAGGAGAGTGCCGGAGCTGCTGGTGGTGGTGGGACACGGGTCATTCAGAAAGGGGTGTTCCGCCCTAGGTGAGACAGTGAGCCATCGATGACAGAGACCGGTGCGGTGATGGACTGCTCTATGTGTGTGTGTGTTGCTTCCTTCATCCACCGTCAAGTGAAGGCCCTTTGGTATTTCGCGAGTCGATGGTTGACTTCAGCCGCGTGCGTGACGAGCCCCTCAGCAACTACAGGTACTTCTCGCCCGAGCTGCGCCATGAGGCCTTCCTGCGGGAGCGGGTCTTCTGGGCGGACGCACCCAACACCCTCACCGGGGACGACTGGGCGGCGGTGCGGCAGTGTCTGGTGCGGGGCGGGTCGGTGCTGTTCGAGGTGCCCCAGTCGCAGATGATTCTCACACTCGGATACACCGACGCCATGTGGTCAGTGTGAGAGCCAGGCAGGGCAGACAGGAGGGGGAATGACACGTGTGTGCGTGTGTGTGTGTGTGTGTGTGTGCAGGTATGTGTGGCAGATGAACCACACTTCGGGAACGTCGATTGCGAGCCAGATCGGCAAGTGGCGGAAGAAGCACTCGAGGCTGGAGCTGCTGCTGCCCGAGATGAGCGAGCCCGACGCACTCCAGGTGTTCATCGACGGCACGCCCCTCACCACATGGACGCCCATTGACCACCAGCCCACCCCCAACAGCAAAGGCCAACAACCTCAGCCGCCCGCCGTCCGTCTGTCTATTCCCTCCCACTTCAACCAGATCGCCATTCTGTCGGTGTGCATGGGCCTCTCCTGGCCGTGGGTGGGCTCCGTCTTCTCACCAGTGGGCATTTGGGGAGGAGTGCCCATCATCAGCCCACCAAAAGGCGCTGGGGGGCGGGAGCAGCTGCGGATGTATGGCTGGATTCACCGCGCCGGGCTGCAAGGCGAGAGGCTCAAACTCTCCACCAACTTCTCGGCCGACGAGTGGACGGCAGGAGGGAACACGACGAGTGGGGCAAATGCATGGCGAGATGGACTGCCCCTGTGGTGAGCCGATGAGAGATCCTACGCAGGTGCGTGATGCGTTTGTGTGAATGCAGGTCCCAGGTAGAGGTGTCCGTTGATGAGCCCATCGACCTGGTAAAAGGCAGGTACAGCCTGGTGCTCTTCGACGATGCCAACGCATCGTCATTGTCCCTCGTGGGCGGCGCTGCTGCCGCGCCCCTTCCCTCTCTCTACAAAGGATTCGTCTATATCAACGGACGCCCACTTGGTAAGCTAAGCGAGACGAGAGAGACACTGGCTGGCCTGACTAACTGGCTGATGCGATCGATGCGATGCGAACGGAATGCACTACCTATGTATGTGTCGGTCATTCTTGTCCATCGTCCCATCAGGTCGTTACTGGCGCATCAAGAACCCACCTGCCCCCGCCACCTCAGGTCGTCGTTCGCGGCGCCAGCACCATGAGGCCCCCAAGTGCCCCGACTGGGAGTGGAGCCCCGTCAATCCCCACTGCAGGTGAGGCAGGTCGGCAGACAGTCAGGCAGTCAGGCAGGCCACTGGAGGAGGCAGACATTCATCGCCTTATTAGCGTGTGATTGTGTCTGTGTGTCGTCAGGGTGGGTGCGGGCGAGCTGTCACAGCAACGCCTGCACATCCCGGCAGACTGGTACACACACACATCGGCACATACACGCTGTCGTCCCATCGCTCACCCATCCATCCATCCATTCGTCCGTATGTCTGACTGTCTACCAGGCTGCGTCAGGGCCCCAATGTGTTGGTGTTGGTTGATGAGTGGGGTCGGCTGCCCACATCCATCGCCGTTGTGCACGAGCAGGCCGACGGCACGGACATCCCTCTCACCGTCGGGCCAACGGACGACCCACTGCCGTGGGAGGGCGGCGAGCTCTTCATACGCCTCTCGGCCAGATGGCGCATCGAGCAGCAGAGGGCCATGTTGGTGGTGTGTGTGGGTGCGGTGCTGTGTGTGCTGTTGGCTGTGTGGGTGGTGGTGGGTGATTGGGCGAGGAAGAAGGTCTTGCATTGGCAGATTGCCGAGGAGCTGCGGCAGCTGGGAATCATCACATCTGATGAATGAATAGGCAGCCAGGCAGACAGACAGACATTCATGTAAACAGTCCTGGCCAAAGTTTACCGGCTGCCGTTGACAGACACAGCGTACAAACACTGTGCCTCCGTGCGGCCCAGAGGATGCCTCAGCTTTCCGTCGTCCTTCCATTGTTCGTGCTGGTGGCTGCCGCCAGCCTGTACGGGCCCGGCCGCGCGGACCCCGATGTATCTCACCCCGCGGACCGGGCAGATCCCCTTTCCGCCCTTTTGGCTTTCCTCACCAACCGTGAGGAGGGCGAGGGCGACGGCAGCAACTGCGAGAACCCCGAGCGCATTTACGACGTCACCATAGTGTACGGGACCGACGCGGTGATCGACTTCAGCGACCCCCGCTTCGGAGAGCAGGTGGGCCCTTCCTCGTCTGCATGAACACGATGGTCCCAGTGATACACAACGATGTATGAGTATCACGGACACACAGACGAGTGTTACGGTTAATGCACGCTTCCCTCTCGATAACGGGCCCCCCCTTCTTTGTCTCACAGGTCCCTTTTCGATTTACGGTGTTCGACAACATCACCGAGGAGAAGAACACATTGGAGTTTCGTACTTTTCTGTACGACTTTGCAGAGGAGCAGGTACGAAAACAGTAGAGAACGACAGAAGGGGCAGCATTGTCGCACCTTGTCCTCCCGCCGTAATCCTTTCTCCTCAGTATGGCGTAAAAATCGACCCAGAGGTGGCCACCGAGCCGGTCAATTCCATCACAGTCGACATCCCAGAAGGCAGCCCCTCCGATGCCTTCGTATTCCTCTGGTCGTACCGCCCGACCCTGGCTGTCTATGCCATCGACGTCCAGGGCCAACCGAAGCTCAAGAACCTACAGGTCAGTCAGTGATAGGGGTGGGCATCGTCATCGGACCAGTCACATGCATGAAGTGGACTGCTGACTCGCTCCAGGGCAAGATTCCTGTCTCCAACGCCGAGTTCATTGCTGATGGCGTCGCAGTGGTGTTCCCAACGGGCGGGGCGGTTGCTGGAAAGTTCGCTGACGACATCCCCGGTGCCGACTTTGTTGAGGTCTCGCCGGGCAGCGGCTTCATTGCGGGCGAGCAGAAGCTGGTGGTGGACGGCGAGGTGGTCGACACCTCGCAATTCTTCGACAGGGAGCTCACCATTGGCGTGCCAGGCTTTAAGCGGTCGAAAGCCACACACAACAACAAGATGGATGGATGGATGAGTGGGTGTGGCTTGCCGTGATTGATTCGTCAGATCGGAGCTCGCCCCTGAGGTTCCACTGAATGTCTTCGGCATTTTGAGCAGTGAGTCAGCACAACCACGGCACTGCCGAAAACGCTGTCGTTGTGTCATCGCCGTCAGGCGAGGCCGTGTCGGAGAACTTTGGCAAGGGCTTGGCGAGGGGTGTCATTGAAGAGACCAACCTCGTGGACGAGGATGGCGTGCCCATCAATAAGACACGAGTGTATCTGCGGTGAGAAGCAGACACATACATGAGGCAATCGGCCACTGCATGGAAGCACACGTCGTTTGTCGGTCGGTGAATGTGCGTAGGTATGTGCTGACCTTCCCTCAAAATGTTGAGGACACCATCACGGACGACAAAGACAAAAAGTGCAGCGACATCAGGGCGTGAGAGAGCATGACGTGGACAGTGAACGAGTGCGTGACATGCACCAGCACACACCGAGTCAAGTCGACGTGGGTGCGTGTTGCCATACATGGATTGGCGAATGGACAAAGCTTTGAGTGAGGTGTCTGTCTGTGTGTCTCGTACGATAGAATGAACGCCTGATTTGTTAGTTACGTACGTTACGATCCGCCGGAAAAATGCCGGCGTTTCGCGTGTCTCGTGAGCTCTACTTTGCCTGTCTGTCTGTCTGTCTGCTCTCGTGCCTGTCCGCAACATGTGGACGCACGTGTGATCGGTAAAGAGTTAAGCGAAGCGTTGCCCCCAAGCTTGCAAAGTACAACTCATGGATGGATGGGCGAGCTGGGTGAATGGATGCATCGATGAATGAGACTCTTTATATATGCGCGATTGATTACTGAAAGAGTCTCATCAGGCCAGCCACATTCAGCGGTATGCACCAGTATCACCACCACACCTTCATGCAACGTGGATTGTCCATCCATCATTCAGATGATCTGAAAATCAAACCATGCAAAAGTCACTCGACACACACCGACCAGCATTATGCCCCCTGCACGATGCCCTGCAGACCCTCACAGAAGCTCGTCAGCGTGCCGAACACATAGTCAGGCGCACACTGCTGGCCACTGCCGTCGCCATTCTTCACACCATCACCACTCCCACTATCCCGTGGGTAAGGTATGTACACCGTCCTCATGCCAACCTGCCGCGCAGGCACCACGTCGTTCTCTATCGAGTCGCCCACGTGCAGCACTTGAGACGGGTGACACTCGAGGAGCTCGCAGGCGCGCAGGAAGGGCAGCGGCGAGGGCTTCGACGCGTTGACGTGGGCGGCGCACACGTGGACCGACACGAACGGCTGGAGGAAGGGAATGCGCTCAGGGTCGGCGTTGCCGTTGGTGACGGTGCCTATCCGGAGACCGAGCGCCTGACACCTGTGCAGCAAGTCAGTGCAACCCTCGAACAAATGATGTTCCACCGCGTTGCGGTGAGCCAGGAAAACCTCTATCGCCTGCACGAACGACACAGGACACACACACATACATCACATTAGATCCGCTGCAATCGACTGTGCTGCCCCACCTCGTCAGCGATTTGGTCGCACTGGTGTTCGTAGCCGGCCCCGATAGCGCATTCGCGGAGCATGGCCCTCTTGCTGGCTGTCATGTCATGGACCAGCGCCGGCCTCTCGCCCTTGACCCTCTTCTCGACGGCACGCATCGCCTCAAGGGTGTATGTCTGGGTGATGGAGGGGTAGCGACTTGTGAGAAACTCGCGCAACGCCGACAGCGCCGACACGATGATCGGTGTGCAAGACCACAGCGTATCTGCATACATTCACAGACGGACGGACGAGGAAATACCCCATCAACAAAGCACCCCCGCCTCATTGTGGGCGTGCGTCCGTGTGTGCGCGCCGTACCATCCAAGTCGAATGTGATGGCTCTGATCTGGGGCGATGAGGCGGGCGAAGATGTCGGCTGATCTTGCCCGTTGGCTGCATCATCGGTCGCGGCTCCCTTCACCAGATCAGACGGCATCATGCACCAGCCAAAGAAAGGAAAGCGGCGGCGCAGGCGAGATCTTCAGATCTTTGAAGGCGACAAGGGAAGAAGACAGCTGCGATCTCGGAGTGCGTGACGAGAGAAGAAGGACCAATTGCGACCTTTTCTGCTTCAAGGTCCGGGGGTTTGCAGGACGCACGAGGGAGGCCAGCTGTGCCGGGATCTGTGGATTCGGAGAACCATTCATCCCACTGTCATTTTCCCTCTCTCTCCTCGCAAGTCGGCTTACAGTCGTCTATGTGCGATGTGATGACTGTATGCATGTATGCCTGTATGAGTGTATGCCTTTCTGTATGTATCGATATGGAATGACATTCAATTGCCCGATTGGTCAGCCTTCAAGTATCACACCCGCATCAGCTATGTATATGTCTATCAACACGTACAAGCCACACACGGCAGAGAGACAGACAGAGAGACAGACAGACAGACAGACAGCGACAGACGGACACAACACGGCGGATGTACGCGTTGGATCTCACACAGATAAACACACGATACACACACGCAGGGAGTGAGTGACACGGAGAAACACAAACTTACTCGACATGCACATGCACATACAGAAAAAATCTCCCGAGAAAATCACTCTGTCGTATCCATTACTAGCTTCCGTAGCCTCTCGACATTACTCGTGTAAACCAAACAAGGCTCCCCCGACGGAGTCTTTCCCGTTTCGTGATACACATTTCAATTCGCATCGCCTCTCCTCTGTTTCTCAATCACATCCACAATATGGTCCATCACACGCTGCGGGTCAGCCGGCAGAAACAACAGCTTCTCGGCCTCGAAATACAGCCGCTTCTCCTCGTCGTGATAATCGATGTTGACGACAACCCAGGTCGAGCCGTCCGTCACAAAGCCGTGAACTAGTCCGTCAGCCACCAGCCGCTTCAGCAGGGCCTGCTCGTGCCGCCAGCCGTTCAGAGGACCCCCTGTCATGATGATAAACAGCACCTTCTCGCCCCCGCACGACACAAGAAGTCATCGCACTCCGATATCTTCATAGAGAATCCGTCCTTGTTTGGGTCGCGCAAACCATACTCGCAGAGCTTGTACGTGATATTGCCTTTCGTCCGGACCCGACCCTCCGTTCTAAACTCCAGCTGGCTAAGTAAACGCCACACGAACTCGCCGTAGAGATTGGCCTTGAGTGACACGAGACCACCGCTGAACTTCTCGGGCTCGCGAAAAGCCTCGTTAATGCGCTCGATGTGCTCCTTGCTGAGTAAGATTCGGTTAGGGGCGGGGCGCTTCCAACCCCTCACCAAAGGCTCAGCTTCGTGTGGCTGAGGATCATCACGGCCACGGTCAGCAGGCACCTGAGCATACACAGACACACACAGACACAGTCACTCGTAGCGCGGCAGGCCTCCCGGGCAGTGACACCCTGAGAGTCGTACCGAGATCGGATCTGCCAGAGATCTCGCGTTGGAGGACGTCTGGGGTGTCCCTCTCAGCGCTGTCTTTGCTGTGGATGAGAGGGAGATGGCAGTACTGTCCGGCGGAGGGTGCAGGAAGCTGGCAAGGAATGCTGGATCTCGCACACGATGGGCATGACCACGAAGGATGGCCGAGAGAGCGACCACGACGACAACAAGTGAAGACATACCTTCGAGGAACATCATACACACAGAGAATGAATCAGATCTCCTCGGCAGCGATATGGGCTGTCACTCTGAGGTCCTTCTCACCTTCCTTCTCGGAGGGAAGAGATATTTTCAGCGGTTTTCACTGCAAGCTCAGCAACATCTGCGAGCTTACCCTGCTCCCCCCAGGGCAGCCTCTCCCTTAAAGATAGATCTGCCTGTGAGGCCTGACGAGGTTGAGGAGAGGATACAGAGAGCCAAACAGACAGGCAAGTCGATGAATTGTTCAATAGCAAAGAGTAGGAACACCGACACCACCGCCTGTTTCCCTGCGCCTCCTGTCCGCTGTTCGCTGCAGAGGTACGAGCAAGAGCAGCACCATCGCCCGTTTTATCGCAGGTTGGGTTGTATTCGGTGTCGACAAAGAGGTACGTGAGGGCAGAAATCTCCGCACGCATCCATTCTGTCTGTCATGCTTGCCTCATGCCTTGTGGATGTGGGTGTGTTCGTCAGGCTCTGTGTGTCCTGTAATGGTGGCGTATCCCGACGTCGAGGCCAGTGCCCCTCCCGCAACGGAGGAAACACCTGTGCCCTATGTGCCTGCGCCGTCTGCTGATGCCGCCGATGCCGGCGAGCAGCTGAAAGCGCTGGAGAAGCGCGTCAACGATATCCGCTGGCATGTCATCGGGGACATCTGCTTTGGCTCCTTCGCGACACTAATCCTCGTCTTGTCCTTCATTGTCTTCCTCATCTTGCCGGGTATCACCGCCCTGCAGAAGGACCTTGACGCCATCAAAGCCCATGATGTGACGGACAAGGCTGAGCTGGATCGGCTGAGTGATGCGGTGCGGCTGATAGCCGAGCTGGACAAGAGTGCCTGGCAGCACACGAGGGAGGCCATCCTCGGCAATAGCAACACGACAATGACACAGAAGGTGGCCCGGGTGGAGGAAGTCGATGCCAAGATGAAGCAGCTGAGAAAGCGACTTGTGGCGTGAGGGGGCGGGCAGACAGACGGTGGTATGGCGTGTGTGTGTGTGTGCGTGTTATGTGTGCATTCATTCAGTGAAGCAGTGATTGCGTCATTTGTTAGTCGGTGCGTTGTGCGATCGATCAAGGGAGCAGAGTGTATCAGAGAGAGGATATGCACATCTGGTGCCGTGCTGTGACGTGTCGAACTTAGTGATCTTTGCCTGCCTGCCTGTCTGCCTGTTTGTGCTTTATTTACGCTTTATTAGTTAGGCCCTACAGATCGATGCTCTACTCGTCTGCCTGCTGTGTGATGTGCGTGTAGGCTGTATGTCCTGAGGGCTTAAGGCGACCGGCAGG